ACAAGACCCCTATATATGTTGTCTACAAGAGACCCACCTCAAAACAAGGGACACATACAGAGTGAAAGTGAAGGGCTGGAAAAAGATATACCACGCAAATAGAGACCAAAAGTAAGCAATAGTAGCAATACTCATATCAGATAAAATAGACTTTAAAACAAAGGCTGTGAAAAGAGACAAGGACACTACATAATGATCAAAGGATCAATCCAAGAAGAAGATATAACAATTATTAATATATATGCACCCAACATAGGAGCACCACGATATGTAAGGCAAATGCTAACAAGTATGAAAGGGGAAATTAACAATAACACAATAATAGTGGGAGACTTGAATACGCCACTCACATCTATGGATAGATCAACTAAACAGAAAATTAACAAGGAAACACAAATTTTAATTGATACAATAGACCAGTTAGACCTAATTGATATCTATAGGACATTTCACCCCAAAACAATGAATTTCACCTTTTTCTCAAGCGCACACGGGACCTTCTCCAGGATAGATCACATCCTAGGCCATAAATATAGCCTCGGTAAATTCAAAAAAATTGAAATCATTCCAAGTATCTTTTCTGACCACAATGCAGTAAGATTAGATGTCAATTACAGGAGAAAAACTATTAAAAATTCCAATATATGGAGGCTGAACAACACGCTGCTGAAGCGATCTGGTACTAAAGAGCTTGTCACTATAGGTATCTGTTATTCAAACTGCACTTAAAAGGTTGTCAGAGCTTAAACCCTAAAAATTAAATTATGATATTCACTTGGCTAGCCTCATTGCCCTACCGTGGAGAGACAAGAATCCATTCAAATCTGCTTTCACCATTTCATTAATTTATTTCTCAAGTGAAGCAAGTAAAAATAAATCTCTGTGTTTGTTATTTTAGGTATAAAGAAATTTTAAACACTCCAAAATAATTCAAGGCAGCTAGTGGGTGGATTTGGGCAGGAAGAGACACATTTTTTTCGATGGCTTCAGTACTATTCTAATTCTTGTGTTGAATAATGGTTTAATGTATACTTTATAAGGGCTTCCCATATGCTTCAAACTTAAATGACATATAATCTTTTATAAATTTTCAATATTTTAAGAAAATTAAATGAATACAATGCATTTACTTTGTAATGTGCTTACTGAGAGAGAACATATAAAACTGTATTTGTATAATTCAAATAAAGGATTTCTAGCATAATTGAATGCTGCCACTTCAGGGAGAGGAGAAAAAGAAGAACTTTGATCTATGATCACCATGGTTGAATTGGGTCGTGGGTTAATGAAGTTAGTAATCAGAATGTACTATTATTAACTGTGTTTTCACTGACAAGAGACACCTAGAAGCCCTTCAAATAGAGCCAGATGGAAGATCTCAGCAACTCAATTAGTGAAATATTCAGTGAGGTTTTGTACGGGGCTCAGCTGCTAATGACACTATTATGATCTGATTTCTAAACCTAACATTCTAAATGGTGTTAGAAATTTCACTTTTAAATTTAAACCAACATTGAATGAAATTTAAAAGTGAAAATAAAACAATAAATTTGGTCATAATTCCACTTGAGGGAAAAGAAAACACTTAGGCTAAAATTTTATCTGTGAAAAGTTTAACTCCTTAATTTAAAATACGTTTTATTTGTAATGTTGAAGTTTCAGAATGACCCCATTAAACGCGTGTCGGTTTTCTATGAATCTCACAGCATCATGTGGATTTCATTTTACCAGGAAGAAAGCAAGAAGGCTTGAGAGTAATTCTTTTTGTGATTTTTGTTTTCATATATTGAAAATTATGCTCTGGTCATAATTTGTACCTACTAGCTATGTTGTTGTTGTTGTTTAGTGACTAAGTCATGTCTGACTCTTTTGCCACCCCCATGGACTATAGCCCACCAGGCTCTTCTGTCCATGGAATTTTGCAGGCAAGAATATTGGTTGCCCTTTCCTACTCCAGGGGATCTTCCTGACCCAGCGATCAAATCTGCATCTCCTGCATTGCAGGTGGATTCTTTAACACAGCCACCGGGGAAGCCTACCTACTAGCTACAGCTATTAGCTAATTACTGTCAATATCAGAAAGAAAACCTATGCATTTTTCATATCTGCCCATATCTTCCCCTCTAAGCCATCACATCTCAACATTCCACATCAATGTATTTTCACCTAAAACTCAGTGTGGCTGAAACAAAAGTGTTCACTGACACAAATCTGACTGCTTTTTACTCTCTGTACGTTTGCATCATTTCATCACTCTCATGGGAACAGACACTCAAAAGTTCAGTCACATTGTGCTTTCACTTCCAAGATCAAATGAAACAAGTGAGATTTTGAAAAAGCTTCAGGTACTTGAAGTCTGACACAAGAGACTGGCCTGTCCGTATGTACAAAGGAGCAAAATGGAAAGAAAGCTGACTCATGGATTTATAATTCTTATTGAACGAAATAGGAAGACAAGGACATGATTGATTTATTTGGGTTTGGTGGGCTTTTTTTGAGAAACCTACATAAAAACCAGGCTCAGAGAAGTCTGGGAAATACATATCAATTTTTTAAGCTGAAGTATAGTTGATTTATAATGTTGTACTAGTTTCAGGTGTACAACAAAGTGATTCAGTAAAACAGATTTTTTTCCATTATAGGTTATTACAAGATAGGGAATATTGTTCCTTGTGCTACACAGGAGGTCTTTGTCGCTTATCTATTTTACATACAGCAGTGTGTACCTGTTATTCCAAACTCCTAACTTACCCCTCCCTCCTCTAATTTTTTCTGCTTTGGTAATCACAAATGTATTTTCTATGTCCGTATGTCTAGTTCTATTTTATCAAAAGGGCTTCCCTGGTGGCTCAGATGGTAAAGAATCCACCTGCAAAGCGGGAGACCTGGGTTGGATCCCTGGCTTGGGAAGATCCTCTGGAGGGGGCAAGGCAACCCATATCAGTATTCTTACCTGGAGAATCCCGGTAGACAGAGGAGCCTGGCAGGCTATGAAGTAAGTTCGTTTATCATTTTTTTAGATTCCACATGTAAGTGATACAATATGATATTTGTCTTTCTCTAAGTTATTTCACTTAATGTGATCATCTCTAGGTCCATCCACGTTGCTGCAAATGGCATTATTTCATTCTTTCTTATGGCTGGGTAATATCCCACTGAAGGATGTACATATAAATGTGATAGTCATGAGCAGGTATAGAGATAGTGGAAGATAGGATGTGATGTGAGTGATTCCTCAATATGTCTTGCATCCTGCAATCCCTTCCTCCTGTTGTCTCCAAACCTCATTCTGGTGGAGCCTTCATCCACAACACCTGCACTAAAACTGCTCTTGCTGACATAACCAAGATGTTTCCAATGATTAAATCCAATGATCAGGTATTTTTTTCCCCGGATTTTATTTAGACCAACACAAACTGTAACTTGTAGATCACTTCCTCTTCCTTACTGTATTTGGCTCACAGGTCAGTAAAACCCTTGGTTTTCCTCCCAGCTCAGAAGTATTTTCTCAGTCTCTTTTGCAGATTCCTCCTTTCCCCCCCTGCCAGACCTCTAAAAGGGGACCCCTCCATAACTTGGTTTTTTGTACTGTTCTCTTCTCTTTGGTCATTTCAACCAGTCTCAAAGAATTGAATACTATCACTGTTCTGAAGGCCCCCAACCATGTGTCTTCGATTTAGATCACTTCAACTACTTTCTGAACATCTATGCCTGGCTTTCTAAAACAAATTCTGTCTTACTTGAGGCTACTCTAATAAACTACCAAAGACTGGGTGGCTTGAACAACGGACATTCATTCTTCACAGTTCTGGAGGCTGAGAAGTCCAAGCTAACAGTGCCAGCCAGTTCAGTTCCTGCTAAGAACATCCTTCTTGGTTGCAGATGGATTCTTTCTACCTGTCCCGTCACATGGAAGAGAGAGAAGGAGCTAGCCCTCGTCTGTCTTTATAAGGACATTAATCCCATCATGGAAGCTCTGCTTTCACGACCTATTTACCTCCCAAACATCCCATCTCTAAGTACCTCCACATCAGGACCCCACCATGTGAATTCTGCAAGCATGCCTGCTCTGTCACTGTCATGTCTGACTCTTTGTGACCCCATGGACTGCAGCCCACCAGGTTCCCCGGTCAATGGGATTTTCCAGGCAAGAATACTGGAGAGGGTTGCCATTTGCTACTCCAGGGGATATTCCCGATCCTGGGACTGAACCCATGTCTCCTGCACTGGCAGGCAGATTCTTTATCTCTGAGTCCCCAGGAAGCACAACAGAAACCATAGCAGATCCTAAACTTACAAGTCTACTTTGAACCCCTAGTTTTTCTACCTAAGATGTCTCCTTTCACTGTTTCGCCAACATCAGATGATGACAACTGGGTCCCTCTATTTGATCAGACCAAAATCTCTGGACTCACCACTAGTTAATTTCTCTTTGTCTTACACCCCCTTTTGTGGGAAGAGAACAAGGCCTTTTGGACCCATCAGGATATATTATTGGCCTTATCATTAAAATATACCCAGTAACTTCTCCCTAGTACATATCCTGGAGCACATCTATAAAAAGAGCTCAATAGATATTTGATGAAAAAATGAAGGAATGTATAAAAATAGTAGGAAAAAAGCTGAGACTGGATGCCCCGTTATTATCACAGCAGAATTTAAGGGGTCCTGTGCTTTGGGTTTGTGCTTAGGCGTGTCTGACCCTCGGCGACCCCATGGACTGTAACCCACCAGGCTCTTCTATATCCATGGGATTCCCCAGACAAGAATACTGGTGTGGGTTGCCTTTTCCTTCTCTGGAGGATCTTCCCAACCCAGGGACAAAACCTGGGTCTTCTGTTTTGCAGGCAGATTCTTTACCAACTGAGCCAGCAGGGAAGCCCTACGTAAGGGGTTAGTTAACAAAGAAGAGGTCCTGACGTCATAATCACAGGGGTAAAAGAAACGCTACAAAAGGAGAGATATAGCTGAAGTCAAGGGAGGAGGGAGCGGAAGGAACAGGCTGTCCATCATTTCAGTAAAGGAAGACATGAAGCGCTGTTCAGAAATGTTTTCAACTAGAAATCTAGTGTATTTCATTTGAGAATAGAATTGCAAAGATGATGAAGGTTTTGACAACAAGATGAAAAAATAGAAGGCATTAGAGAAAGAGCGAATTTCCAGTAAAATACTGATGCAGATACCAGATGTTTTTCTTCTCACATGGAGACACAGAAGTAGAATGAGAGCAAGGGATGTAGAAAGAGTACAGGCTCTTCTAACAAGCCGTACGGAAGAGAACAGGGCGAGTGAAATCAAGGGACAATTTCCTCAAAATGGATTCGCTTCAGTCAGGGAAGATCCTACGCAGGGGCAAAGAACCAATACCGACCAACAGGCTGAAAACTCTGAATATTTACCGAAATGTCTCAGTAGTGCAGCTAAATCATTTTCTCGTGATTTTCCATAAATGGTTGCCTTTTCTTCTGAGTCATTTTTTTTCCCTAGTTACACCAAGAAGTAACTGTGAAGAGCTCTACTTCAGAAGTGTACATTCCCAATCTTCAGGAGGTGAATTTGAAATGCCAACACCTCCCTTACCTCAGAGGGAAAGGGACCAGCTGAGCGCCCATCTGGGGTCAGCGACTTTAGTAAGATCTGGGCAGACTCATCCTTTTCTGTACAGAGCTAACATTCTGGAGGACGAGTCCATCATTCCTGGCTGCAGCAAATGTCTCTCTGACTCAGGATGGCCAGCCAAATATCAAACCGGAGAGCGGAGCCCAGCTGCCAGGGACAGTAAATTTCAGGACCCTACAAAGGCTGCGGAAATTGCCTGCTGCTCTGGATTTTCTGCAGCAGAAAAGGGAGGATGCCTTCTCAGGCATTGGCGAGAACCAATGCGACTGCCAGAAATGCCTGAGACAGGGTATGTCAGCGCACGCACACACACACACGTGGCCAAGCATGACAGAAGGTTGCACTTAGGTAAAATCCTGGCTTAACTGCCCTTTTACTAAAATTCTCCCCCAAAATGAAAGCAGAAGGCTGAACAACACATAACCACACCCAACAAGCACTGATGGGCATCATCACTTCCCATCTCTTCCTCTATTAGCACAGAGGCGGCCTCTGCGGACGTCATCAGGCTGCTTGTGTTTGCTTGATTTATTCATTTTGACACTTTGGTAATTGGTCCTGCATTATATTGCTACATTTTGTACCTAGATATCTTGCTAAATACATAATGCATTTTATTGTAAACATTTGAAAATATGATCTCACCTCCATGTAATTACTTTAGATAAAAGGAAGTTAAACAAATTCAGAGAGACTGAAATTAAGTTAAGCGCTGAATATTAAGGAAGGCTTCATCTTTAAAGGAAAATACGAAAGAACGTGTATAGAAAATTCTAAGGCACCCTTTTTTAATGCTGTTGTTGTTTATTCCCTAAGTTGTGTCTGACTCTTTGTGACCCCCTGGACTGTAGCCCGCCAGCTCCTCTGTCCATGGGGTTCTCCAGGCAAGAGCACTGGACTGAGGAGCCATTTCCTTCTGCAGGGGATCTTCTCGACCTGGGATGGAACCCACATTTGCTGCATTGGCAAGGAGATTCTTTACAGCCGAGCCACCAGGGAAACCCCTACACTACTAAATACACACACACAAATCGGTGTCTAGGGGTGTGGAAAATGGGCCAGTTAAGACGAGCTTATTTCATTTAAGTCAGTAATTTCCCAAAATGGGGTTGCTAACCATTACACTTATCCTGCTATTCATGGACACACTGAAATGTTTTGTCATTACCTTCAAAACAAGAGTAAACAGGTTGCAAGGAGGAAGTTCCTAAGAAGCCTAGTTAGCAGAGGTGGTCTATTGAGATCGCCCGTCTGGGAGAAAGTGCCAACTGGGGATTAATAAACCACACAGCTTCCATTTTTTAAAAAGTGACTCATTAAGGGAAGACTGATCAAGTAGCCAGAAAAACTTCAGTGTAGACTCTTCACAGCAGTCTATCATCTTTGAAACAAGTCACAAATATCAATGAGTGGTCAGAAAATGAATAGAAGGGCACATATCACTTGGCAGGAAGCACCATAGCGAGAAAATTAATTGAAAATGTCAAGTAACTTTATGAATCAAGGCTATCTGGATTAATTTAACCTAAGGATGGAGGAAATGGGGGATGCCGGATCTTAATTTGATTATTCTAATCACAAGGGGATGGAAACTTTAGAGCAACAAAAGACAGAATGCGGCACACGAGGGCTGCTTATTGTTTGTTAAAAATACGATGTCAACGACCAGGGCCACTCTTGGCCTAAGGGCCATGTCCTCCAATTACCCAATCATTCTGGGCTTCAGAGTGGGCACTGGTCTCTTCAGAGAGCAAGGCAGATCAGTGCAGGGTTCCCTTAACCTACAGAAGGGTCTCTGTGGGCTATTCCTGGCCATCACTGTGCCAGGCTCTTCATTCCTGTTTTCCTCTCCTTTGCAAAGACAGTATAAACTCACTGGGACATGTTTCTCCTTCCATCCTGTTTGTTTGTTTCTTGGTTTTTCACAAAAACATAGAGGATAAAAATAGTCCTTTCTAAACAAGGGCTCATTGGAAAAGACCCTGATGCTGGGAAAGACTGAGGTGGGAGGAGAAGGGGACAACAGAGGATGAGATGGTTGGATGGCATCACTGACTCGATGGACATGAGTAATGAGCCAGATCTGGGAGTTGGTGATGGACAGGGAGGCCTGGCGTGCTGCAGTCCATGGGGTCGCAGAGAGTCAGACTCGACTGACCGACTGAACTGAACTGATGGAAACAAGGGCTATTTGTTTAGAAACACTAGGGCACTTGCCACCAATATTCCTTTCCCATTGTTTTCAGGTAAAATATTTATCATCCAGGAAAGGATAACTAGATGCCTGTGAAACTTTACTTTTTAAAAAGCGTTCTGTACTCACAGTTCCCAGTACATCATGAAAAGGGGAAAAAACATTTTTATGGCAGCAGGAGACAATTCTCTGCCCCAAGAGATGATTCTCTCAACATCCAAGTCCTTCCCTAGGAGGCCAAACCTTCGTAGCACTTTCTGAAAGTAAATTACATCATGTTGTGAAACAGTATTTGAAAGATCTGTGCCATGAAGGACCTAGATTATTTTATGAGTGTGTTGTAATTCTGTAGGATCTTGCCTTCAACCAGAGAAAATCTTCATCCAGGACACTCCAAAAAGTTAGTACCAACTCCATGCCTGGAAAACTTCATTTCTTTAATCTTTTAAAATGATAAACAGGCAAACTCAGCCTCCTGAAGATTTTAAAGAGTCTCAGTTTACAAAGGACGATGGGTGAGCATGCTGGCCGACGCTGTTCCTGACACGAGGTGCCTTCTGCCGTCTCTCCCTCGGATGTCTTCGCCCCTTCACAAATTTTTTTCCCAAGTCATTCTTCTCTTATAAAGTTCAGATCTTTTCTAGCCACCTGTTAACCCAGGCCACCTGTAATATTCTCGAGGAAATTTTATCGTTGAGATTTTTTCATCTAACTTATTCCAAGAAAAAAGGCACAAATCTGGCAACACAGAGCGAGATGCATTATCTCCTCCTCTAGTTCACCTACTCTGACAATTCTTACCATTTATGACTACAGTGGGATTCCCTAGTGGCTCAGATGGTGAAGAATCTGCCTGCAATGCAGGAAACTCAGGTTCGATCTCTGGATCAGAAAGATCCCCTGGAGAAGGAAATGGCAACCCGCTCCAGCATTCTTGCCTGGAGAATCCCGTAGACAGGGAAGCCTGGCGTGCTGCAGTCCATGGGGCCGCAAAGAGTCAGACACGACTGAGCGACTGAACGACAACAGCAATGATAAACGGGATTGCAGCCTCACGCTGTTTTAAAATGAAGGCAATTTATTGCTCCCTTATTTTAAAATTTTACAAACAGGAATGGTTTCTGGTGAGACTTTTTCCAGAAACTCAAGTAAAATACTTGGGACTCAGTTTCTCTCTGTTTCTCTCATCTCCTTCCTACCCAGTGAGCTCCATCGGTGGTCTCTGCTACAGTGGTCTTCAAGAGGCTCTAAGGTCTCCATTCATAACCCCAAAACTGGCTGCCATTGTTTCAGAGCGCTCCTTCTCACACCGTACTGTGGGAGAAAGAAAAGGCGTCTCCTGCCCAAGTACTAGGATTCATCCTCCGGAATCATCTCTAAAGGACTCAGTGCAGTCAGGCTGATGCGATGTGTCCACTGGCTTCCACCAAACAGCAGCAATCCCCGATAAGTGGGTGAGTTCCCCAGAAGATATTAGGAGAGCATGAGCGAGAATCGGGGAAACGGCAGCTTGGGGGACATTTAAGGGCTGTGTGCACATTCGCTGCAACATCTCCTGCACACACGAGTACTCTCAAGAGTGAATCCATGGGGTTTTTATGCATGTCAGCCTCCTTTGCTCAATTCCTTTAAATTGCAGGTTTCCCTATGGGTACTCTATGGCAACCAACACTAAACATCAGCTCTCATGTTTTTAATCGCCCACTAATAAGATTAAGGAACGTCCCTCTGGGGTCCACCTTCTCCACCTGTCCAAGCTCTTATTCATGCTCATTAGTGATTTTTGGCCACTAAATAAGGGTTATAACTTATGGTATTCATTAATAATAGCTATACACGATTGTGTCTCTAGTTAACTATAATGTACTATGCACTTAAAAATTTGTTGGGAGAGTAAATTTCATGTTAAATTCTCTTAGCGTAACAAAAGAAACTACTGTTCATATCTACCCTACATAACATTTTATTCTTAGCAGTAGATACGGTACATGGGCCCCGGGGCCTCCTTTTTAGTCTTCTGAGCCAAACATGATGAGAGAGAAAGAAATTGAGCTCCAGGGCTCCTGGCCACCCAGAACACAGGCATAAAAGTCAGTCCAGTAAATTCTTAAAATATATTTTGAATGTAAAGCTCAGTTAATACATTAAAATTCTAGTTTAAAAAACCAAATAGAAATAGCTAGAAAATAATTATGTCATGAAAAATAAAAATCAAAAGATGATTCATACAATTATGTATAGCTAGTTATCTTCTGACACAAGCAATTCTGCCTTTTGCTGTTGGTAGATTTTTCTGCTGTGAGACCCCTGACTTTCAAAGCTTAGTCCTCAAGTCAACATTACTGGAATCTCCTGTGAGCTTGTTAGAAAAGCAGAATATTAGGCCCCACATGAAACTGATGGAGTCAGAATCTGCATTTTAACAAGGTTTCCACATGAATTGCATGTACACTGGAAATTGGGGAGCTACGTAACAAGTTTATCCATTAGCACGCCTTTAAAAAGACAGTGTTAGAGGCTCAGTCATGTCCACCTCTTTGCAACTCCATGGACTGTAGCCTGCCAGGCTCCTCTCTCCATGGAATTCTCCAGGCCAGAATACTGGAGTGGGTTGTGATTCCCTTCTCCAGGGGATCTTCCCAACACAGGGATTGAACCCACATCTCCTACATTTCAGGTGGATTCTTTACCATCTGAGCCACAAGGGAAGCCCTAGGATGCCTTTAATTCCAAGTAATTGAAAACCAAATAAAAGAGTCTTGATAATAGACAGGAAAAAAAGCTTTAATCTAAGTCTCCATCTTGAGAAGCTAAGGAAAGAAAGTAAATCCAGTCCATAATAAGTAGATAGAAGGGTACAATAAAAATAAGGGCGGTAGCCAAGGAATCAGCAAACAAAGGCACAGGCAAGAAAATCAACAAATCCCTCTTTGTAGGAAAAACAACCCAGAGAGTTCAAGGGCATGTGTTCGTTTTTTATTGCTGCAAATGCATTACCAAAATTTTAGTGATTTAAAACCACACGCATTCAGAAAGAGAAAAGCAAATATCATATATTAACACATATACACAGAATCCAGAAAAATGGTACCGATGAACATATTTGCAGGGCACAGACAGAGACGCAAAGGTAGACCACAGACGTGGGCACAGATGAGGAGAGGAGAGGGTGGGGCCCATTGAAAGAGAATACTGCTGCTGCTGCTGAGTCGCTTCAGTCGTGTTCGACTCTGTGCGACCCCATAGACGGCAGCCCACCAGGCTCTGCCGTCCCTGGGATTCTGCAGGCGAGAGGACCGGAGTGGGTGCCACTGCCTTCGCCAATGCATGAAAGTGAAACGTGAAAGTGAAGTCGCGCAGTCGTGTCCGACGCTGCGCGACCCCGTGGACGGCAGCCCACCAGGCTCCACCGGCCCTGGGATTCTGCAGGCGAGAGGACCAGAGTGGGTGCCACTGCCTTCGCCAATGCATGAAAGTGAAACGTGAAAGTGAAGTCGCGCAGTCGTGTCCGAAGCTGCGCGACCCCGTGGACGGCAGCCCACCAGGCTCCGCCGTCCCTGGGATTCTGCAGGCGAGAGGACCGGAGTGGGCGCCACTGCCTCCTCCGAGACTGAAAATGAACGCACCACACAGGAGCGGAAGTCATGAGGCTAATCACCCTGCTAACAGCCCTCGGGGCAGGAGTCTCTGCTCTTCTGTCTCCTTGAAGCCAATTATTTATCTCTTCCTTTGAACTCGTGACCAATGGTCTTAATAAATCCAAATTTTTATTCAGTTGGTCAAATCCTTTCCCTATTCATTACCACTCTCGAACAAAAATGTTTCTTAACACAGGAGTTTTTAGTGTCTGAAGAGAGAACACCAGGAGCCAACTTACAAAATGTGTTTTGCCTGGAGGCATAGAAACCATAGGAAAGGAAACACTTGAAGATAATAATAAAATACTGTCAGCATCTTGGGGAAATTAAAGTGTGATAGTCCCATTGAGCTGCTAGTCCTGTAGAGAACAGGCTGTGTGCTTCCGTGTTTCACAGGCACAATACCTACCCAGACTTCTCTTCATTGTAGGAAGTCCAAGAAAAGTTCTACAATTTTTCCCATGAAGTTTCAAATGAGGTCATTGGTTTAATTTAAAGACAGTTGGAACTCAACCGTAGTCAGTCTAATTTTCTTTTCTACCACACATAGATTTGAATGTTCTTAGTCCCAGGAAAAAGCTAATATTACAGAACTCAGGTTTTCTGAGTTTGAACTGTGTTGTAAAAACTTCTGTATATTGAATTTGGTGCAAGTTGCATCTTTATTCATCTTTATGAATCACACACTCTGAAATTTCAAATGATCCACTAAATGCCGTACACCAAAATGAAGATTCCTCATTACAGCACTTCTAAATTAGTTTGTTACAAGAAGATGACTAAGCTATGGGAGCAGCAGACTGTGAAGAATCAACCTAAATTAGCTGGGTTTAGTGTAGTGCAAGATATACTTGATCTCAACACAATGTGATTTAAGTTTTATAATACACACAATATTTATGTTGCATGACAATTACACAATTAATAGAATGCAGTTCAAATAAACCCTTAGGCACAGCAATTGTTAACAAACAAAACTAAGTTTAGTAAGAGCCTCAAGGTAAAATGAAATCAAAATTTGCTGAAAGTAGCCTTGAAATTCTCTAAATATTCTGAATTTATACCCAAAATGTTGTAGATTTCTGCCTTTCCCACAATGATTTCCTACTATTTAGAAATCTTATCCTGAGAACTTACAATAGAAGATTGTACGGTTATCATAGTAACTCATTCCCCAATATCCATTTCATTCCAAACAATCAGTCTAGGCAAGTTACAGAAATTGCATTCTCTCATCAAAAACTAATAGAGACAAGTGAGCCTGTCCTGACGAACAGGAATTTCCTCACTATTAAAATGACAGGCACAAGGTCACAAGGGTCCTTCATTTTACTGTTGATATATTTTTGTCTGAACATAATGCCTTGAACAGTTAGACTCATTTTGCAATAACTAGGTTAGTCAGTGTGAGAGAAACCACTGATACCTTAAAGATGACTGATCCTAGAGATGGAAAGAAACTGGGCCTTGATGACACCCCTAGACCACAGAACTAACCTGTTTGGAGGCTGAACACCCAGTGCTTTCCTTGTAAAATGGAGAAAATTATAATGCTTGCTTTAATCTTATCAAGAATGAGTCAGAATATGCAAAGTATTTAGAATAATATCCAACATACAATATGAACTCAATAAAGAATACCTATTACTATCACCCTAATTAAATAACAACAATTCTGTGAGATAATGTTGATGTTCACTTGTTCAGTCACTCAGTCATGTCAGACTCTTTGTGACCCCATTGACTGCAGCACACCAGGCCTCTCTGTCCTTCACCATCTCCCAGAGCTTGCTCAAACTCATGTGCATTGAGTCAGTGATGCCATCCAACCTCTTCTCCCGCCTTCAATCTTTCCCAGCATCAGGGTCTTTTCTAATGAGTCAGCTCTTTGCATCATCATGTGGCCAAAGCATTGGAGCTTCAGCTTCAGCATCAGTCTTTCCAGTGAATATTCAGGACTTATTTCCTTTAGGATGCCCTGGTTGGATTTCTTTGCAGTCCAAGGGACTCTTAAGAGTCTTCTCCAACACCACAGTTCAATAGCATCAGTTCTTCGGCGCTCATCAATTCTTCAGTGTGAGATAGTATGTTCATCATCTAATAAGCTTTCACAGTCAGGTCTTTTTAGTAGTCGGGACTTTTTTTTAACCAAAGAAAGTCCTGTTGGTTTCAGCAGCGAGTGTCTTACCTATACAGTATATTTATTCCCAAGTAAACAAGGCTGAAAAAGAGAATAAAGTTCCAAGTCATCCTTATTTTCCTCTGGACAGCTCTCACGTAGGCCCGTCCGCTTTAATTAGCACCTTCTGAGAAAGGCTGAGAGGCCGTGAGGAGATGGAGAAGTAAGGATGGTGCTTTCTGAAGAGTGCCAACATGACTTGGTGCTCTCAGGATCAACGTTAAATATTAGCTGAAAACTAAGTGATGTCATTTAAAGGCTTCCACCCCAAGATTTCTCTCTACCTAAAATTCTGTTTATAATTATATTTTATGGAGAAAAACCTTTTGAAGAGAGAACAGCTAGGTAAATGATGTGCCATTCACATTTCATTTTAAAATTAATTTAATAAGAACAATTTTCTAATATCTAGCTTACTCACAGCTCAGAAAGAGAGAAAAGGAGAAAAAGAGAGGGAGAGGGAAGAAAGGAAGGAAAGAAAACACTGCTTTGAAAGGAAAATGAGACACAGTTTTGAATAAGAGCATTTTAAGAGATGACCTATCCAACCACAAGTCATTCCAGGTTAAGGATGACAGACTCCTGGGATAAAGTAGAATGAAAAAGCAAAAAGTATGTGAGTGGTATAAGTGATAAACGGATTCTGCACAGTCACAAATAGGAGAGAATTAAGAATCTATGCCTAAAAGTTGAGGCTAATACTGCAGAGGCAAATATATTGGGACTGTGTTCTGACTCAGTGTTACTAGATGGGTCTCTTCTCATTCTATGATATCCTAAACAGAATGAGAGGAGAGTTTACATTTTATGCTTATAAATCTTTTTAATATTTTAAGCACAGATGACAGAAGCTTTAAAAATTCTCATTCAGTCATAGTGATAAAAGCTATTCAAATATATGTTCTCTAGTTGAAAGCTATATT